AAATAGCATCTTCTTTCTCACATTAAACTACGTATGTCAAACTGTTTACGATAAGGTATATTAAAATTAAAGCATTACTAATTATTTATAACTAGAATAATAAGCACAAACAATAATTTTGCAACAATGAAATTATATATATTAAAATTTTTCTTCAAAGACATAATCTTATTTATTGTAATGAAATTTGTAGTAAAATTTTCGATTTTACTACAAATTTTCATATTATATAAAAATAATTTTAGATAAACGAGACAGTAGCGATTCTTCACAAATTGTCCAGTTATAATTTCGATGAGAACTTACATGAACAGGTAAATAATTACAACAAAATTTTATATAGAATTTTAACTCTTCTTTGCGTAATGTTACTAGAGCTTGTGAAAGTTTGGACACTTGCATAAATTTAGTCGAATAATTATGCAAAAACTTGAGACTTTATAGAACAGCAATTTATTGTATTATATTTTTATATATATTTTAAGATACTTATGTATACCACATACTAATATATATCCATAAATATGTATAAATAGGCTAGAAAATATTTTTTACAAATTATTTTTTATTTTATATGTCAAAAGAGAATATTTGAAATTTATCTATTATACTGTATCGATACTCTACTCTATAAATTATACTTTATGTATTTTGACTTATAAAACCAAAAATAATTTACAAACTTGGGTAAACATTTACATAAGATCAGCTCTTTCAAAAGTCAATTACCTTGACATACACGTTGTCATAATACTTTTTTCCTTTAAAAGCGTATGCATGATACAACATTACAAAAATATTACAAAAACACTTCAAAAAAACATTTATCTTTATCAATTTTATCCGCAAATTACTTTCAAAAATTTTTAGCATGCCACTGATTCGTCGATCATGTTTACAACATTGCAAGTATGCGAATCGCATCACCCGTTGCTTTACAGACATTCAGACAACAAATGCCCGTTTTCATTACAGTTAAATATTGATTCAACTATAGATATCTTTTCCACTTTTTCTAATTTCAAGAATTAGTGTGTAGTAACAGAGGATTAATTATTAATATGAACAATGTTTACTTTGAAACTGAAAAATGGATCGATTTTGACACACACTGAAGTTAAAAATAACAAAATCTTATTTAACTTAAGAAATTGGGTTACTCTTTTGAGGGGTATCTAACAATGTAACATATTTGATGATTTTATAATAATATTTTAATTCTTTACATAACTTTACATTTCTTGTAGAATTTATGCGAGTGTCCGAAACGTTCATAAACGGTAGTGTACGTATATCTAACATTTATTCCATTATTTATTTCAATTAGATTTTACAATTTATATTGCAAATAAAACAAAGGGAGGTAAAATTTGGCATGGAACCGTTCTATCTTGGATATAATTTTATTTGCGAGGTATGTCCTATATTGAATAAAAGTATAAGCATGTAATAGAACCTATATCGCGACCATACTCACGAATGACGGCATCTTCGTCTCGTTTTCGTCTAACTTTTACTAACTATTGTGCATCAAGCAAAATGACAACTGATCAAGCAAATTACACGCAAAGACGATACATGATGACTTGACTGTGATGACAGGGCGACGGGCGTAACACGAGAATGCTCTACAAAATTCATAATGCTTCGGGCAAATGGAACACAGCATCCAAATTAATAACTACTCGCGGTAGTTTCTTATACGGACTATATTTTAATGCTTGTCTCACCGGTTCTTTTCCTTAATTCTTATGGTAGCCGTCCTTCGGTCTCTCTAATTTTTATTCGTGCTCCTTTAGTCTAGATCCACAACTTTGTTTTAAGAGGCTGTAAATCGAAAATCCTTAAAAAAATGACCAATCACAGTCGAATATAAGAAAAATAATCGACTGTAATTGATCAATTTCTTACGGCTTACGACTTGCGACCCGATTGTAGAACAGGCATTAGCGGAACCTTGGTTTGCCTGACTGTTTCAACTAGTTGCTCCACTATCATGTCGTATAATTCTCTCGCTACGGTGCTTGTATGTCAGAGGCTCCCGTCCAGAGATTCCGGTGGCAGTTAATGTTTAAAAACAGCTGTTTTGCTTAATTAAATTTTTTTTGTAAGTTTTTTTATTTTTTGCCATCTTGTTATATTGATGATGGCCAAGTCTTGAACAAAATGTCTACTTTTTTATGAGAATTTTAAATATATATTTTAAATAATATACTTGCGTCAACATCTATTGTTGTGGCAGTATGCTTTCCATTATTTATAGTTTAAAAACAAGATCGGCACTAAAAAGGCACAAACAGCGGACACAAATAGTATGACTATAAGAAATATACGATTTGCGCATCCCCGTCACTGGGAGTTCTTTGGGGCCTCTTCGGTAACAGTCTTCTTCCAACAGTCCTCTTCTTCTCTGGCGACCGAGTGAAACAGCTCTATATAATTCGGAATGTAGCCATAGTTAGTCAAAGTTCTCGCAAAAGTAACAAATTTCAAAAAAAAAAACTACAAAAATCGGCGTCCACACACAAATATGCTCGCCCTCGCAAGTCGGGAGGACATAGAATCCACTCGGATTATCCACTCGGATTATCCGCGAAACAGTGACGAAAAATGTCACGTCATAATATATAATAGAACAAATACAAATCCAGTCTTTCAGAAATTAAATAAATTAGTAATATACAATATATATATAATATATATCCATAATATTTAAATTATTTCTCATTTAATTGCATTTATATATTTTTCATTATTATTTTAAGTATTCGTGATCTTCTTTTATATTAATTCTTTTCAATGTAATGAAATTGTTTTCATTAATGAAAGCATTTTTTTCAGTTTTACAAAACAGCTTTGAGTGTCGTGGTAATTTTAATACAGGTATGTAATCCACAATAGACTTTTTATTCTCTCTAATGCATGAGCAGAATGACGAATGGTTTGATTTTCTTTTCATAACAAATTCTTTTAAATAGCGGTTTCTGAACAAAGTCAATATTGATTGTTAAAGAAGCATAAAAGCCCACTCAATTTTTCCTTTAACAATTAATATTAGTTTGATTTTATTTTGATATCAATATGTATAACATTGCTGATATTAAATGTTTTAATAAACAGAATTTTTAGTTGTTATGATAAATTCAAGATTTTGCAACTAGAATGTTTGGTACTATATTATATCATAAGAATTATATTATAATATATCGTATCGTATTATAAAAATTTATTTAAAACTTTTCAGATGGATTTAATACATGTTATTTAGACAGACACAACATTACCTGAATTTTGATTATCGTTAACCTCAGCGTATTCTAACAATTCGATAATTGTACTAGTCGACGTGGGTCGGGTTAACATGCTGTATTGTTATATATCATGCGTCTTGTATCTTGTAATAAAATGGAACGAAGTGATATATGGATGCAAACATTCAAAGAAGACGTCTTTTCGTCTTCTTCAATGTAATTTTGAGTAGTGTAAAGAAATTACTTCAACAAGTTAATTCGAATTTCTGTGTGTTATATTACTTTATAAGTATCTGCTAGCACATAGACGATGATTACATAGATGATGATTTTGTTTCATGCATGATACGCATTGTTTCAATTATCCTTGTTTACTTTCGATAAACATCAAAGATAAATAATGCATTATGCATGAAATGGAATATACCTATAGTTAACATGTACACATTATATGATCAATACGAAATTCTACAAATATACAGGGTGGAAATGATGTAAATGATGTAAAACTGAAAGATGTAAAACTGAATGATACTACTTTGCAACAAGTAAGCCGAACGAATAAATGCGTACGCAATTTTATTATTACCATATATGAAAAAGATATGTAATTAATTATTTGTACAACTTGTATACAAATCGTAAAGATGCACATTTAATAAAAATATAGAAATGAGTTAAGCCGTGAAATCCTTAATATCGTGTATATTTTATTTGGTATTTGATAAAATATACATTGTGGGAGTATTTTATTAATTGAGATATCTCACTTTTACATTTATATTAAGTTAATGTACAACAGATTTAATGTGCACTGAGTGCGCACTAGTTCTGCCAGTGAAAAACGCTATAAGATCGGAAAATTTTTTACGCGGAGTTCAAATTACAATAAGTATAGTATTATAATATGTAAGATATGTAAGAAATAATATACGGTACTATATTATATGTATATGTCCTGAAATTATAAATTATATATTATTATATTTGACCTTTATTCCACTATTTTCACTCATTTGTGATGCAAGTAAATATTTGATTAGATAACAGACATAACAAAAAATTACACTAATAATTTTATACTCGCACTAATAATTTTATATTCGCATTAACAGATATCTCAGGAGCTCATCAGATGAAGCTATGACTTTACTCTTGTCGTGTGATGCGAATGCTCGGATTAAAAAATTAATAATTTTATAAATATATTAATATAATATTAATATATTTATTAAAATATATATTATATTTATATATTATATATATTATATATCGACGCCTGACCGTAGGTTTATATCGAAAAAAATATGAAAATAGGTTTATGTCAAGAAATGAAAATAAATGAAAAGCGATCTATTTCGTATAAGGTTTATATCGAGAAAGTGAGAAAAAACTGTTCAAGTCGCATAAAATTAAAGAATGATTTTTAGCGTAATATTTACTACTCATAAATTACACAAATTTAGTTGTGAAAAATTTATTAATATATGCATATATAGTCATGACTGAGTGCATGAAAGTCAAGACGATTCCCGTTCTCAGTCATATTATACTATTATAAAATTTATGAGAAGAAAATATATATATTGCGCTATATAATCTCTTCTTCAATTTCATGTGACTTGAACAGTTCTTCTCGCTTTCTCGATATAGCACCTTCTATAGCTCAGACGATATATAATTATATATATTATATATATTATATTATATATATTATACTGATAAATTAAGGAATATATTAATATTTTATATTTCTTCCATCTGCTCTGAACTGGTGCACTAAGTGTAATAAATATGTTGACCGGAATCGTCTATTCGATAGCGAGTGCCATATTAAAGGTCTGTTTTCTGTGGCTAAACTAGTATACACTTTTGGAATTTGAATTGAGACAGGTATATGTTTGATATATTCAATTGCCATCTATGTCGCACAGCTGTTATGATGAGCAAGTTTTTTAATTCATCGATTGATCAATCGCATTATGCGCAAATACAACTTTTACGGAACAAAATTACATTTGCGCACAGCGATTGATCAATTGATGAATTAAAAAACTCGCCCGATTTAGATAGAACTGAATGAGCATGTCATCAGATGAGGAGAATGACGAACTGCAAGACTTGGAGGCGATACGCGATAAGGTTCTTAGCAGCCCACATAGCAAGCGTATGCAAGTGAGCGCTTGGGAGGACGACGATGATGGTGTAGAAGCAGAACGTAATGCGAGAGGTTAGGATTCTGACCGGCTTTTCCACTTGAAATTCAAAAACTAATTGCATTCGCGATAATCGAAGGAAATAAAAATATGTCTATAACTTTAAAACATTTTCTATTAAAGAACTTTCTGTCAAATTATTTTCGTGTTTTTATATTTTTATTACATTTCTGTTTCCTTCTAGAACCTGATGCGAAGGCTATGTTGAACGCTGCCGAAG